TGTGTGTGTGTGTGTGTTACCTCACGGCCGGTAGCCTCCAGGATGCCATCAGTGCCTTTAGAGCACATGCGCTCTATAATCCTGGCCCTCAGTCCCTCTTTGATGAAGCCAATGTCAGACAGCAGCTCAGCAAACTGCCTCTTCAGACTGGCAATCTCCTGCACACGTCACAACAGAAAAACATTTTGAATTTGTTTGCCATGACCAGCTGAATTGATTCAAACAAAACACAATTAAGATCACTTATTTAACTAAAGAGCAGATTTCAATGCCTCAAGAAGTGGTAAATCTAAAAGAAAACAAAAAAATAAACAACTCTACGTGCATTACACAAATTATAGAAAGAAGGCATTATTCAGACAGCACTGCCTGACCTGTAAGCCTCTCGAAGACAGGAAGTTCTCCCTGCAGTAAAGGAAGCCGGCCTGGTTGCCATTCTTTGCAGCGCAGCACCATCCCTGCAAGAGAGGGAAAGTTCATCACATAAGTCAACATTTACACGAGTTAATACTTTTTATGTTATTTTTCCACAAAGATAAGTTCAGTCAGTACCTTGTATGCCTGTAACAAAGCTAGATGGTCGCTATTGGCCAGAGCAAAGCCCAGTTTCTTCTCATTGGCTTCTTCCCGCTTATCCCATGGAGACACCTGTAAAACAGACACAGTAGCAAATATAGAAAAGGAAACGGTTACCACAAAGAGCCGCTGGTAAAGGATCCTAAAATCAGCATGTGATCCCAAGAAGTGACAATACGATCTTTTAACAGTGGCAGGCGCTCTTACAAATGGTGATTTGAAGGCCAGACTGGCAGCGATGGTGAGTGCTGGGTCGAGGCAGCGAAAAATGGCGCCGAACAGCATGAGTTTCCCGATGCGCACGTCGACGGGCAGGCAGGCCAGGTGGTAGCCCAGCGGGGTCAGCTTCTCATCTGCAGTTAGAGCTCCCAGGTCCTGCAGGCGCTGCTTGGCTGCATCCAAACTTCCCATAGCCGGGGGCTCGATGAGCCGAGAGAAGACCGACTCCAGCTTCCGCTCAGCAAACACATCCAGGATCTTGATTCTAAAAAGGGGAGAGGGCGAAATGTTAAGTACTAGCATGAGGAAATATTGTTTTGCGTATCCTAAAATCTACAGCAGAGAAGACCCTGTATTGACCCAGTTTCCCTCCATTTCTAAGCATAAATCCCAATAGCCATGTCATACATAAATCTTATTATTTAAATCTTATTCGCATTTACAGAGAAAACAAAGCAGGTTGGCATTGTGCAAAGAGCAAACAGATGGATTTACCGGAGGCAGAGCTGCTCTAAAGGCACTCTCTGGATCTCAGGCAGCTGTTGCTCAGCCAGCTGGTGTTGGAAGCAGTGGCTGGTGAAGAGGTGGAAGCAGACCCCCGAGGCCACGCGACCCGCTCGACCCTTCCTCTGCAGTGCGTTGGCCCGAGAAACCCACGAGTCCTCCAGGCTCTCCATGCTTTTAGATGCATCATATCTGAAAATATAACCAAGTAGAACATTAAGATTTAAAAAATAACCAGTTCTGCAACACTCAAATAAAACAGCCATTGTAAATAATAATTTGTTCTTAATGCCTTGCCTGGTTAAATAAAAAAAAAGGATAAAACTACTGTACAAACTGTACATTTTACAATCACTGTTAACTAAAATGCACAAATTCACATACAGTATATTCAAAGAGCACAAGGTTACCTTTTCTCCTTCATTTTGCCGGAGTCGATGACATACACTACGTCGTCAATGGTTACCGAGGTCTCTGCGATGTTGGTGGAGATGATAATCTTTGTGACACCGTCTGGGGGCCGGCTGAAAACCGCCTGCTGCTCCTCATTTGACAAGGTTGAGTGGAGCGGGTACACCTCACACCTAATGAGGGGAAAGCACATCCACATTAGCATTTGACTTAAACTATTAAGTGTTCCTTTCCCCACATAACAATGGCCATTTGGTTACAAAGGCTTACACCCAATACATTTTGTACAATACTAGAGTAACCACAAATTATTTTACCCACATGCATGAACAGCATCAGGATTT